AGAGCCAGTCAAATTGACAAAAGTACTTGGTAATGTTCTAGTTTCCCACACTCCCATAACTATCCCTAAGAATCAAGGTGTTTTGCATACATAACACATGACAACAAAGGACCAGAAAATACTTAGTTCTAAAATTCTATTTATAATTCCTTCTATGAGATGTTTTTTTCTACTCATCCTTATCCCCTTAACGTCCTACCTTTTTCAGCCTGGTTTACCACAGTCCACTCAGGCTCATTTTGTCATGAAATGGCTCTCTCACCCTCTCCTTCACCAACACCTTCCAATCCCTACACATTTGTGCTCTTCTTATCCAGTGTTTTACATAGTCAATGCCAGTGTAACTAGTAGACCCTGGCATGTTAAATATATCACAGCAACGGTGCATCTCTTTATGTTTCTGTCTCACACAAAATCTGATGCCAGCTGGGCACTCTCCAGAGCAGTAATCCTCACTGCAGTGGTTGCAGTCTCTAGGTTATTTCTATATTGTTCCATAGCCATCTCAACACATGACATTCACAGCCACTACTGACAAGGAAGAGAAAGACTGAGGAGGGATGTCAGTCTTAACTGCTTTTCTCAGAAGGGACCCATATCACTTCTGTACAGCCCATGAACCAGAATGAAGCATGACTACAAATTAACTCAAGAGAACCTTGAAATATAAGAAGACATGGGTTTTTAAAATCTGTCTTTTCTGCATCCACTACTGCAAGTAAGTTCTGTGTGTACATTTTTATTGTACATTCATAAACCAAATCTGTCTTCTTCATGCCTCACATGTAAACAGCAGAAAGAACACTGAAAAATGTACAATGAAATTTCTTTTGAACATTTATAAAACTTGGCATACATCATTTCCATATAAATTTTTTAATGTGAATTGAGTGCAATTTATAAAGAAAGAGAATGTGCCAGGTAAAATCATTAAGCAATATATTTGGACAACTATTTACAATCTTCCTTCCACATAAACCATTTTTCTATAGTAACACATTTGAAGTGACTAATTCTGGTTGGATGTAGTATAATGAAAACTGTTTATTTCTAAAGTTTCTCTCATAAAGAGCATTACTCAAAATATATAAATATTGATTAAAATGTTGCTTGTAATATTATCATTTAAAAATACTAATATAGAAATATTTCAGTGTGTACTTGCCTCTACATAACAGTGGATAGACTTAATTTTTTTGTCCTATTTATTTATTTATTTATTTATTATTAAGGTATCATTGATATACAATCCTATGAAGGTTTCACATGAGCAACATTGTGGTTACTATATTCACCCATATTATCAAGTTCCCCCTACAACCCACTGCAGTCATGGTCCATCAGCATAGTGAGATGCTGTAGAGTCACTACTTGTCTTCTCTGTACTATACTGGATAGGCTTAATTTTTAATTGAAAGAACAATGAAGTAAACCAACTCATCAGAAAAATAAAACAAAAGAAAAAAACAAACCAAGACTTGATAATACCTCCAAATTCGGGAGCCCATCTTGTTATCTAGACCAAGAACTGGGACCGTGGTACCCTGACATCTCAGGGCTTTGTTGGGTTCTTCTATTCAGCTTTTGGGAAGGATATCAGTTTATCAGACTTCTCTCTTTCCTCTAAACTGCATCTGCTCAAATCTGCCCTCCCTATTTCTATCACACTATACTAAAAAAACCTAGTAAAAGGGTATCAGGACCTTACATTTCAAAGCTTTTACCACTTAATTCTGTTTCCCAAATCAGACAGTGACATGATCCAGATCACCAGTATAGAATACTAATCTCCTTAAGCAGACTTCCATGGCTTATCTACACAGATCCTTTTGACTTTTTTATACTTTCTCAATGCTTCCACAACCCAAATTCTGAAGATTTTCAGGAAAAAACAAACAAACAAGTAACAAGCATAACTTCTATAAATGAAGTGATTTTATTAGATTAGAGAAGTTAGATATCCTGTATTTTGAGTAATTTGAATTTATACTTCTTTATTTTTCACACAAGTTATTTTATGTCACTACTTGGTGGGATAACTTTTTAAAAATCATCCTATATTGGATTCAATTTTAACTACAGTTACTATTCAAAAACACTAGGTCTTATAATTAGATAAAACTGATATACAAACTATAATGATTTTAATATAAAAGAAAATAGGTTTTAAATGCATTAATTTTACTTATTTGAGATACTAGTGATTTCTAAGGCATTTCCTGAAAGTCATAAATTATAAGCTAATAGTGCCTTGTGTATACATATGTAAGAGAAAGACAAGGAAAGTCTATTTCTGCTACTTAATAACTATATATGTTTCCACTATTTTCCAAGTGGTACTTTTAGGAAATGTTACAAGTTAAATTACATGAGGGCAGTATTTATTTACAGATATGAGACAAGATTTTTTTTGTTTTAATCAAAGAACTCTATGTCTGAAAAACATCTGAAGTTACAAAATATAGTGCATAGTCCATATCTGTATGAAAGCATTGGATTTCAAAGAGAACACTGTTGTGAATCAGTAATATTCATAGTATTACATGGTGGGGAAAGATAACACATTATCTTCTTCCTTTTACTGCCACAAACTTTCATACACCAAAATATGTAAAATAAGTCTAGCCCTTTTGATCTTCCAAAACTTATAGAGTCTGGAAATTCCCTGTAAGTTCATTTAGTATGGACCTTATCTACTTGTGTCAATTACCATGAATTGGCATTTTTTTATTTTTAGAAAATGGAAAATAATGGTAAGAAGTTGGTTTATGTCATATGTTCCCATGTTTTTCTCTTTCCTTGAGTTCAGATAGTCTACAACTTTAAGATATACTGAACTGCAAAAATAAATATATAGGTGAGTTTATTTCTTTAATGTGAATGAATTTTGTAAAGATCTAGTATCAAACTATTGAATGGATAAAGGAAAAGATATTGTCATCATTTTACATTTTTACTTCTCCCACTAATTCAAAAGGCTGTTAATACAGTGGTAAATTTTCGATCTGAGTGATTTCATTGTTTATTCTAAAAAGCTCTTTATTTGGGAAAAAGTGTAAATTAATTTTCACAGCACTAGTCATGACTCACTAGTGAGATTCATTATCGCAGATTAAGGTGTTTTATGTAAATGTGTATATATGTGCATATATTCTAGGTGTATGATGAAAATTAAAACACTTAATCTGTCTTGAATATCTTTCCATTTGAAATATCCAAATCATCATTCATTCTGGCAGGATTTGATTCTGTTGTTTGCAATTACCATAATATTTTAGCAGTTCTCTACCATAGGTCATTTAATGATCTAATTGCTTTACCTAGTCATAAAAATGCTGCAGTGAAACTCATGTACATGTATTCAGCATATTATCTGAATATTTTTATGGTAAAATCTTAGAAGTGTACCTTTGTGATCAAAGAGTAAGTATACTTATTTATGCTTTCAAATACACATACAATTTGAAAAACTGCTTTAAAATAAAGTTGTACAAATTTCTACTCTGCAGCATGAGACAAAGGGGCTTATGTAGCCACACTAGGAACACTTATCACTATTATATATTATCATTATTTATTCAAATATTCTATGATATTTAAAAGAAGACCTTGTGATAGAAAAATAAATTACAAATATCTCTTCTCATGTGGTTTTCATTTCCTCACCTTTAGTAGTGCCTTTCCATGACTTTTATTATTATTTAAGAGCTTAATAGAGACATATCTGGCACACAATAAACTGAATATAACTAAGGCATACAAATTTGGGCATATGTATATGTCCAGGAAATCATCACCAAAATCATATAATATGTTCATCATCTCCAAATGTTTTCTTTTTAAGATAATAATTATGTATGTATATATATATATTTATATATATATATATGATATACACATGATAATCTGGTACACATATACACAGTGAAATCATCACTATAGTCCAGATAATCTGTTCCCAAACCCCAACTCTACACACACACAGGTAAATACTGATTTCCTGTCACTTTAGGTTAGTTTGTATTTCCTAGAATTATAGATAAAAGGCATCATGTAGTAAGCATTCTCTTTAGGTGTATGATGAAAATTAAAACACTTAATCTGTCTTGTCACTGTAGGTTAGTTTGTATTTAATGTTTGTCTATTTTGTAGCATCTTTCAATAATTCAACCTCTTTACTGCTGAATACTGTTTTATACGTGAACATACCAGAGATTATTGATTGTACATTTACTTGTTGATTGATATTAGGGTTCCTTGCAGTTTTGACTATCACAAATAGAGTTTCTAGGGACACGTTTGCTGGCTATTTTGACCTCTTATCCATCCAGGCATATTTTTTTCCACAGCCTAGAGTATATTCCTCATACATATGCACTGATTGGTGCTCAGTAGACTATAAGAGGAAAACCCTTCAGAGATATCTAGACATCTGTTTTCTTGCAGCGATCTTTTCCCCCAGTATCCTGTCCTGAAACCTCTAGCTGCTTGGTATTCCTGTACTCCTGGCTCTGTCTCTTCAATTGAGGGACTCACAAGGACCTTCCTGGACTTTTCCTCCCTGTTCTGTGTCCTGAAGACTCATACAAGGCAGTAAATTAAGGCAACCCAGGTCGCACTTCATTTGTTTCCCAAGTCTCAGGGACCATTGCTGGCCATTGCCTGATATCCAGTGTCTTTAACCTGCTTTATAGTTATCCATTCTTCTAGTTGCCCTAGGAGGGATGGTATACCTGGTCCCTGTAACTACATCTTGGTCAGATGCAGAAGTCTGAACAGAAGGTCCTAAATTTTAACATTTAATGTAAGACAGTTTATTATTTTTTATTTAAGATTAGTGTTGATTATCTGGTTAAAACATCTTTGCTTATTAATACTAAGTGATCTTATACATGGAAAATACAAAAATTTCTGCAGTCAAATTATTTGAATAAACATACAAATTTAGCTTAAAAAGAGATAACTAAAAATAAGTCTACAAAAATGCAAGCAAGTGCCGGAGACCAAAAGGGCCCACACCCACAAGATGGCGGATTTCCTGCTTCTTTTCCGGGTTTGCTATTCCCGCCAGTGCCCACCGAGACCCAATCACCCTGTACACATTCCTGCTAGCACCACCTGGTGACCAATCATCTTCCGACCCTCCCCTTCCTTGCTGATCGGTATAAATTAAGCCTGCTGCAAATAAACTGCGCCAGCTTGATCAGACACCCTGTCTTGCTGGTCGTTCTTTGTGTCCCTTGCTTGTTCATTTCTGCAGGCGTCTCCGGCTACACTCCACGTTAATCCCGCGGGTCGGGACAACTGGCGCCCAACGTGGGGCACCCCGGGACTCCTGCTGAAACGTCTGCTCGGAAGCCCTGGCCAGGCATTCATTTGAGTCACCGCACGGGTATTGACCTGATGTCGACTCTGCATGGAGAAGGATCACTGCGGCTCACCCGTCCGTAATACAGATCCTTGAGAGGTGAGTAGACGAATCCCCCAAGCAAGATTCCAAACAACCTCTTGGGTGTTCAGCAGTCCATTTGATCTTATCACTTCCCTCCAGTTTGCTACCGCGATTTATTCCTTGTTTTGTTCACTGGTTGTTCCTCTCTGAAAACCTTGTGTTTACTTTGGGCTAACGGTCGTTCACCTCGAAGGCATACCCAGGGGACTCCGACTCCAGAGTCCCTGCCCTAGAGGGTCCGAGCAGGCAGATTGTACCTGCCGACTGTCCTACGTAAACAAGGGCTCTTCTGAGCTGACGAGAGTGGCTCCAGTGTTTCAGGACATTGATGTAATTGCAGCTAAATTGGAGGAAAGGATTCAAATTTTTACAGTGCAAGGGTTGCGGCCATAGTGATGGGCAACTCTCTGAACTCCCATGAAGTCTTCCTTACTGGACTCAAGGAGTCCCTCAGGACACGAGGAATTAGGGTTAAAAGAAAAGACCTTAGGTATTTTTTTACTTTTATCCATGAGACTTGTCCCTGGTTTCCCCTAGAGGGCACTATTGATCACAAACAGTGGAAAAGAGTTGGTGATGCCCTTCAAGATTTTTATCGGACCTTTGGCCCTGAAAAAGTTCCTGTCTCAGCATTTTCATATTGGAACCTTATTCATGACGTCCTTGAGGTTCATTCACAAGATCCTGACATTAAAACTATAATCAAAACAGGAGAAAAAGCTCTCAGAGAGGACTCCCGACCGCCCTCTGCCTGCCCTTCAGTAGCCGTAGATATTCCTGACGAACCCATAATTCCTACTAACAAATCCCCTGAATTTCAACCAGACACAGAATCCCCAAATACCCATGATAAAATTGATACCCAGGACATAGCTGATCCCCCTAAGATTCCAAATATTTATCCCGCACTTACGTCCTTTAAATGGCAAACAACCAGGACATTTTGCTCGCCAGTGCCAGGCAGAGACTCAGCCTCACCCGCCTCGCACTTCCCTGCCTCATACACCCCTGCCTCGTACTCCCCCCCAAAACCCTATGCCCTCGATGTCGGCGTGGTTTCCATTGGGCTAATGAATGCCGTTCTAAAACGAATATTGAAGGTACCCCCCTTCCACCACTCCAGGGAAACTCCCAGAGGGGCCAGCCCCTGGCCCCACCACTGAATACGAACCAAGGGGCTATCAGGTTCATTCCCCAAGCTCAACAACAGCAAATCCTCCCTGCGCAAGCATCAGCTCCCTCTCCCGTGCCACCCCAGGAAGCGCAGGCTTGGACCTCTGTTCCGCCACTGACACAATATTAGTACCCGATCAAGGTATCCAGTTGCTCCCCACAGAAACCTATGGACCCTTACCCTCCAATACCTTTGGTCTAATATTAGGACGGGGGAGCTCTACATTAGCTGGCCTTCATATTGTACCAGGAGTTATTGATAATGATTATACAGGACAAATTACCCTCCTAGCTTCTGCTCCGACAGGCCCAATATCTATTTACAAAGGAAAAAGAATAGCCCAACTCCTATTGCTCCCGTTAGACTTAACAAACAAAAGTTACAATAAAAATTTCAGATTGAATGCTGCCTTTGGTTCCTCTGATGCTTATTGGGTGCAACAAATTACCACTGAGCGGCCTTTATTAACCCTGCAATTAGATGGCAAATCCTTCGAAGGTTTAGTTGATACAGGAGCAGATGCTACAGTAATATCAGCCCACCAGTGGCCTCCCAGTTGGCCCTGCAGTACGTCCATAACCCATCTCAAAGGCATTGGTCAATCTACTAACCCAAAGCAAAGTTCTAAGATCTTAATTTGGAAGGATAAGGAGGGAAATTCAGGACAAGTCCAACCTTACATAGTCGCTGGATTGCCCATTAATCTATGGGGCCGTGACATTCTATCTCAATTGAAGCTCGTCATGGCCAGCCCAAATGACATAATTGCCCGACAAATGCTTAATCAAGGCTATCTGCCTGGCCAAGGTTTAGGAAAATACAGTCAAGGCATAAAAGAACCCCTTACTGTTATACCCAAGAATGACCGTTTAGGATTAGGGAACAACAATTTTCCATGAGGGCCATTGACCTTCCTGTACCCCATGCAGACAAAATAAAATGGAAATCAGATTCGCCTGTTTGGGTGGATCAATGGCCCTTGAATCAAGAAAAACTCACAGCAGCTACTAAGTTAGTACAGGAACAATTAGCTGCTGGACACTTAGAACCCACTACTTCTCCTTGGAATACGCCAATATTTGTAATTAAGAAAAAATCAGGAACATGGAGACTCCTCCAAGACCTCAGAGAAATCAACAAAACCATGTTCTCAATGGGGGCCCTTCAACCCGGTCTCCCCTCTCCTATAGCCATCCCAGCCAATTATTTCAAGATCATCATTGATCTTAAAGATTGTTTCTTTACCATTCCTCTCCATCCCCAAGATAGAGAGCGCTTTGCCTTTAGTATTCCTGTCACCAATTTTAAAGGACCCATGCACCGCTACCAATGGAAAGTACTCCCTCAAGGTATGGCAAATAGCCCCACACTGTGTCAAAAATTTGTAGCCCAAGCCGTAGATCCCCTCCGAACCCGATGGCCTTCCATCTATATCATTCATTATATGGATGATATCCTTCTAGCTGGAGCCTCCCGCACTCAAGTCCTAACATGCAGTCAAGAACTGACCACCCATCTCACCTTTTTCGGTCTTCAAATTGCCCCAGATAAAATTCAATTAACAGATCCCTATTACTACCTTGGGTTTGAATTGACTTGGAACAAAATTACCACCCAGAAAATTCGATTAAGAACGTCACACTTACATACACTGAATGACTTCCAAAAGTTCTTAGGGGACATTAATTGGCTCAGACCCTATCTTAAATTAACCACTGGAGAGTTAAAACCTCTTTTTGATATACTACAAGGAGACCCCGATCCCTCATCTCCTCGGAAACTGTCCACCGAAGCAAAAGAAACTTTAAACATTGTTGAAACAGCTATACAACAACAACAAATTACGTTCCTATCCTATGACAGGCCCTTCGCTCTCATCATTTGTAATACGCTGCATACTCCTACTGGGGTCTTATGGCAGAATAATCCCCTATTATGGATTCATTTGCCCTCTTCCCCATCTAAAGTCCTCATTACATACCCTTTGCTAGTTGCAAAAATCATAAAGATGGGCAGAGAAAAGAGCCGTCAGTATTTTGGCAGAGATCCTGATCAGCTTATCATCCCCTACACTAAAGAGCAAATAGATTGGCTTCTCCAAAATGAAGATGATTGGATTATAGCCCTTACTTCTTTCCAAGGTAAAATAGATAATCATTATCCCTCACACAAACTCCTACAATTTTCACGATTACATCCTTTTATTTTCCCAAAAATAACCTCATCCACTCCCTTAGACAACGCCCCTTTAGTTTTCTCTGATGGCTCCTCCTCGGGTATAGCTGCCTATGTTATTAATTCACAGAGTCACAGCATTCAATCACCTTTCAAATCAGCTCAGCTTGTAGAATTATTTGCTATCCTACAAATTTTCAAAGTGTTGAGTCAAGTTCCTTTTAACCTGTATACTGACAGTGCTTATATAGCATATTCAGTTCCGATTCTAGAAACAGTCCCTCACATTAAGCCTTCTACCAATGCTGTTTCCCTCTTCCAACAACTCCAAACCTTTATATTACGCAGACAAGCCCCTTTCTATATTGGACACCTACGAGCCCACACCGACCTTCCTGGTCCCCTCTCCCAAGGCAATGCCCTTGCAGATCAAAATACCCGCTTCACATATTCTGTTACAACCGATGCAGTTACCAAAGCTAGTCAATATCATGCTCTTCACCATGTGAATGCTCACACTCTTCGGCTTTTATTTAAACTTACTAGAGAACAAGCTAGGCAGATTGTTAAAGACTGTTCAGGGTGTGTTACCTCACTGCCCCTCCCCCATTTAGGAGTCAACCCGAGAGGTTTACTCCCTAATGAGATCTGGCAAATGGATGTTACCCATATTCCTGAATTTGGAGCTCTTAAATATACCCATGTAACTATTGATACTTACAGTGGTTTTATATTTGCCACCCTTCACAGTGGAGAGGCCACTAAGAATGTCATAGCCCATGTTCTTCAATGCATTACTGTTATTGGTAAGCCTCAGACTATTAAGACAGACAATGGACCTGGATACACTTCGCAAGCATTCCAAAATTTTTGTCATCAATTTCAAATTAAGCATATCACCGGTATCCCGTACAACCCCCAAGGACAAGGAATAGTCGAGCGGGCCCATCAGACAATAAAGAGTACAATTAACAAACTTAAAACCAACACAGCGTACCCTATAAGAGGCTCTCCAAAAAACCTCCTTAATCATGCTTTATTTACACTCAATTTCTTACAATTAGATAGCCACAATAAGTCAGCCGCCGACAGGTTGTGGCACCAAGAAACAAAAACCCAATTTGCAGAAGTCCTATGGAAAGATCCTTTAACTTTTAAATGGCATGGTCCCGACCCAGTCCTTATCTGGGGTAGAGGTCACGCCTGTGTATATGATACGCAAGGAAACGGACCTCGATGGTTACCCGAACGCCTTGTTAAGCCCATCAATACTTCTTCAAAACAAAATTGTAATAACTTAATACATTCCAGGGAGGAGAATCCACCCTGAGAACAGTTTTTCCTTGCCTTTCAGGAAGAAGATAAGTGTTCATCATCACTGGACAAGGTAAGCCCACCTGACCTTTGTTAGCACAGTTGTAAGCCCACTACCAGTAATCTTGCCTATTTTCATTAAACCCTAAAACATCATCATGTCCGCTATCCATTCCCTTATCGTTACTGTAATAGTCACTGCTGTCTTAGGAGGATTTGGGCCCCCTCCAACTAGAGAAGAACTCTACATTCAGTTGTTTGGAAGCCCTTGTGATTGTAAGGGAGGAGTAATGGATTTAGGCCCTAGTCTGGGAGGACATAAACAAATAACATCTCAAGGGGAAAAACTAATAGCTGGACCTCAGCTTACCACCAGAGGACCTATAGACTGCCAAGATAAAATAGCATACCTCACAGCAGATATCTCTGCAGGCGGATTTTCATCCGGAAGAGGTTGGCAGCCCCAGTCCTGGAAATGTGTAAAAAAGCCCAAAATTATACCTACAATTAATGGCAAACCAGGGCCTTGTCCCGACCCCTGCCAAAAAGCCACTGAATTACACTCTACCTGTTACCGCACTGTCCAACAGTGCACTGGTGCCGATGGCAAAAAATATCTAACAGCCATCTTACAAAATGGTTATGCTGGTTCCTTTGGAGGCGAGTATGATTATAGCAACCCCCGAGGACATTCTAAATATGCACAAGCCTCCTGCCATGGCCAAATTGGCAAGGCGATTTGCTGGCCACCGCAAGCCCCAATTCACATATCTGATGGCGGTGGACCAACAGACAAAGTAAGAGAAGCCCAAGTTCAAAAGAAAATTGAAGAAATTATCAAAGAAATATACCCTCCCCTAGAGTATCACCCTCTAGCCTTGCCCAAGTCTCGTGGCATAGATCTTGACACCCAGACTGCTGATACTCTAAAAGCCACCCATAGCGCACTAAACGCTACTAATCCCAGCCTTGCTGAAAATTGCTGGCTATGCATGACCCTTGGTACACCTATGCCCCTCGCAATTCCCACTAACGCTACCACTACACTGCCAGAACAGAATTGTACTCTTAACTCACCTTTTAGAGTACAGCCTGTAGGATTTAACACATCCCTATGCATACAAAAGCAGCCCCAGAATAATAGTGATGACGTGAACGTAGGATTTGCCTCTTTCACAAATTGCTCCCAAGTTTCTAATTATTCCTCAGCTATCTGCCCCGCTATTGGACAAGTTTTTGTCTGTGGAGGAAACCTAGCCTTCACTGCCTTACCCTCAAATTGGACTGGGTTATGTGTGCAAGCCAGTATTCTCCCAGATATTGATATTATCCCAGGAGAAGAACCTATCCCCATACCCAGCTTTGAGTATATAGCAGGGCATCCACGCTCTAAAAGAGCCATCCAGCTTATCCCACTCCTAGTAGGCCTCGGGATTACTACCGCAGTGGCCACAGGAACAGCAGGGGCAGGAATAGCCATACATTCCTACCATAAGCTGTCCCATCAATTAATTAATGATGTTCAAACTCTCTCAGGAACAATCAATGATCTCCAAGACCAAATTGACTCACTTGCAGAGGTAGTTTTGCAAAATCGTCGAGGTTTAGACCTCACAGCAGAACAGGGTGGTATCTGTTTAGCTTTGCAGGAAAAATGCTGCTTCTACGCCAACAAGTCAGGCATTGTTCGGGATAAGATAAAGATTCTCCAAGAAGATCTCGAGAGAAGAAGGAAAGAACTCCAGAAGAACCCTCTTTGGACAGGATTGAATGGACTCCTCCCGTACCTCCTTCCTATATTAGGCCCTCTTTTAGGATTACTACTAGTACTTTCTTTCGGCCCCTGGGCTTTTCAAAAACTTACAATGTTAATCAAACAGCAAATTGACTCCCTCGTAGCAAAGCCCATCCAAGTTCATTATCACCGCCTTGCTTTAGCTGACCAAGGTGTGAATCTTTACTGAATTCTATACTGAAAACTAGCAAAGGGTATGTAATGAGAAATGTAGAAATGTAGAAAACTACAAAATATTTTTGAGAGAAAGAAAAAATGAAAAGATCTAAATAAATGGAGGATTTTGCAATGGTCATGGATTGGAGGATTCATGGTTAAAAAACAAAATTATAAAATCTGTTAAGGAAAATGTGGGAGTTATCTTTAAGATATTGGTAAAAGCAGTCTTACATTTGCCATTTTAAATGACTTGTGGTACTCTACTCTTACTCTTCGTGTTAGCTGTCTCTTCCTTCATCTTCAGCTCACATAACTGCCTTAAAGGCCTTACACCTAAGTATACTCCCCTATGAATAGTCATGGAAATCTGTTCATTTCTTTAACTCAAATCATGCTTGATAGTTAATATTTGTTGGTTTATATGTTTATCAGAATAGACATTCACCAATACGAAGTTCTGTAAGGGCAAAGACCAATGTATGTCTTCTTTAGTATGGTGTCCCAAAGACCTTGCACAATGCCTGGAGAGAATATAACTTCCTAAGTGTGCGTTTAATGAATAGTTAAATGCTTAAGACAAAATAATCCTTAAACAAAAGAAAACAACTCTCGAACTCTTCATTCCTTTAAATTTTGATATATCTTGGGGCTTTCATGGGTACTATTTTTCTTTTTAAATCTATGTGCCCTCCAGAAACTTAATTTTTTTCTCTACCTTCACTTTAATTACCATTTTAAGTTGACAGCTAACAAATCAATGCTGACAACTCACCATTTTTTTCTAAACGTTAAACTAGTATATCCAACTGTTTTCTGGAATTTCTAACTTGGCTCTTCCACTGAAAACTTACTTTCAAAATTTCTAAAATTGAGCTAATTATCTTACCTTCCCTATTTCAAAATTTTCTTCTCCTTCAGTAATGTTTTGCTTTCAAAGAATGAAATCATTGCTTTCCTACTTATCGTTCATAAAGTGTTATCCTTGCCCATTGACCAACTTAAGTTTGATCACCCCGTGTAATCATAGACCACATGATATTTCTATAGCACAAATATGATCATGACACATCTTTCTCAGAACCTTTCTCATCATTTGCTATAGTTTAAAGCCTTAACTCATTCTCTAATATTAGGTTTTCATAGCCTGGCTCCTGATTGTCTGTCTACTTTCTCTTTTATCTGCCCTCATATTCTACTCCCCAAACATATGGAATATTTCTCAATTATTGTAACTCTAGTGGAAAATCTGTCCCCCAGCCTGAGGCAAATTACCTCTGAAACTGAAATCAGTCAAAGGGAAAAATAAAGTGGAAGAAAACCATTTATTGCTTACAAGCAGTCGTCCACTTCTGCTCTTCTCACAACCCACCTGCACAAAGGGACTCCATCCAACCTCTCTGGTCCAGATATGCCCTCGCTCCCCCTTGCAATCACCTATTGATATGGACATACACTAAGGCCAGATGAGAGATTCTGGAAATATTGCAATTTTACCTACAGCCCACCCCTCCAGAAATCTTGCCTCACAATCTACTCACTCTATATTTTCTGCAATGGCCCCTGCACAAGAAAACTGGAACACTGTAACCAGACTAATAACATTCAATAACAGCAGCAATAAATCATGATAATCCTTAAGCAGGAGGATTCAGCTGGGTTCAAAGTCCTATGCAGATTAAATCCATAGCTTGCCCATTCCACAGGCAGTCAGTAGCTGAATGGGTAAGGAGTTCAGAGCAATCATTATGTGGCAGTTGCAGCCATGTCAAAGGGGCTGCAGAAGAAAATAACCTTATGAGCAATAAAATACATGTTTTAATGACACCAGCATAGGCAAATCTTGTCCATCAGGTAGGATGCATGCAAGAGAGTGGTCCTGTGATAAGACAGTGGCAGGAATGGGATCTCATCCTGGTCTAGTATACCAACCCTTCACCCTATACCTGTGGGAGTTACAGATGGGTCAATATAAATGGCTATGAGAGGTACATGCACTGGCCATAAAGACAAAACAAAACTTCCCCATAAGATGCTCATACCTCCCAGACGTTTTGGGTTCACTATCATGATATTTGGGGGCCAGTCTGTTGTTACTGCAAGAATACACAGGAGGCCAGCTTCCAGGTCTTTTGGCCAAGGTGCCAGAAAGGCCAGCTTTTGCTGGTCCATGTGTCTAAACGACCAGGGTCACATCACCTCAACAAGAGTCTCCAAGGTTTAATGCAGTTGGAACTGGCAGCAGGATGTTGCTCTGCTGACCATATCCTGGCTTCAATAACTCCTCTTCAGTTTCCTCATACAGTTGTATAGGAGACACAGAAATGTGTGTTAGCATGTCCACAGGGCTCAAGGCTCCTTTTCAGGGCTACTCACTTAAATGTAGCACTGTCCATAAGTCAACAGACCAGCCTTTTTCACTGGCCACATCAGGAATTAAAAGGACTATGAATGGGCTATATGATGCCCACCTTCTCCAACTCCTGTAGAGTTTTTCCAATTACCTTGTGTCCCCCAGGCAATTAATATTGCTTAGTATTTGTCACCTGCCGAGATACAGGCAGCTACAGGTGGGTGCCTAATATGTTCCCTTCTTCAGAACTGCCTTTGACACATATACCCTCAGTCTGAACTCACCTGCAGTGGTCTGTAACCACAGACCCTTCAGGATATCTACTCCAAAAATATATTCAGGGATGGTAGAAATGTACACAGTGCACTTCTTTGGGGATAAACACCCTATCCCCAACGGGATTTGGGCTTTCTTCACTCTAATTGCCTTACCCCCATAGCCATCTATCACAGCAGGGTTCCCATGAAAACACTTAGAGTTGACAAAAATCAGAGAACATTTAGCTCCTGTGTCTACCAGTGCCAGGACACATTGTACATTCATGGGAGACCAATGAATTGTTAATTCTACATGTGGCCTTCAATTCCCACTGCATCCCCCAAGGTGGGGACCTTGACCTTTCCCTCCAGTCAAACCACAATACCCAATCATCATCCTGTGGTAGTGAGGGTCCAGGTGGAGTCTGTGTACTGTCCCCCAGAAAGTCTTGCAGGGACACAGGTCGGACATGGGGATTTGACTCTAGCCTCCATGTCCTGGACCTCAGCCACTAGAATTGCTACTCTGCCTTTAATTGGTGCCACAGTTCTAACAATATACTATTGGGCTTCCCACCAAGTTTTTTGTTCACTACCCCAGCCTTTATCAAATCAGCCCACATCTGGGTCCTTGAGACCTTCATGGGGCCCTTTGCACCCATCCTTTCAGTTGTAGCCCATACTTTCTCTGTGATCTTACTGTTTCAACCTCCCCCAGATATGCCAAAGTACAATTAGCCTCACTCATGGGTTTCCCTATGTTGAGGGCAAGAATAGTCACTAGGGACCCAAAGAGAGATGAGGAAGCTATATGGAGCACCAGATTTCTCATTCCTACAGTGAACAACTCCTCATCAGGGCCCTGGGGTCCATATTATATATGATATTTTTCATACCCAGCTCCCATAACACCTGCTGGAGCTCTGCATACATTTTCCAGCTGGTAGGTAAGTATGGTAAGTCACCCTGATTAGGAAAAACTGCCCTGATGGCTTCTGTCAGCCAATCCAGAAGGGCCTGATTCCCTGAGGTGTGATGGGCACTTTTGCAACTGCTACTGGAGGGAAGGGTGCGTTGTCAGAGAAGCCAGTCTACTCATTTCAGAACCCAACAACAATGTTTTCCACCTCCATATCTCAGAGATGCAAAAGTCATTTAGGCAGAGGTTTTGATGGCTTTTGCTGAAACCAGACACTCATGTCCACAAGCTCATCCTGGGTATAGGGGTAGAGCATGGATTGCTTCACAGCCTGGGGAAGGAGCTGCTGATCCCCCTAAGGAGCCCATGGTTTTTGTATTTTTATTTTCTTAATTACAACCTGGTGTGCCTTCAATACAGTAGAGGCCAGTGCCTCTGGCAGTGGTTTGGAAACAGTTTGGCCCTTGGCTTTACCCCTTGATATTCCCCTGTCATCTCCTCTTACTACCTCCAGGGCTGAAGGCACCACTCTTTCCTCTCCCTCCCCGATGCCCTCCTGCAACTTGGATTCTCCTGATGTCTATTCCCTCACTGCTAACATATCTTCCAGGACCTCGACCCATCTTCTCAATAACTGTCTCTCTTTCTTAAGTGTATCCCATGGGTCATCACCCAGATCCTCCAAGCAACACCGAAGTGTGTCTCCTCGATAACTATTTCCAACTATCTTGAGGAAAAAACATTCCACAATTTCAGCTGCTACATGAACACTCAGGGACTTTAAGAAGTCTTCTACCTTTAAGAGGGCTAATTCCACAACTTCTGGTGTCTCTGCCCTTCTCTGATTCTATGGAAGGCCGCACCCCTCTAGGAGCTTCATTACCTTAGACCAATTTCCCACCAGGAGCTCCCCAAGAAGAAGCACCATGGACAGCAGTTTCCCAGATGAAGCCACACCCTCCACCGCTTCTGGAGTTAAGGGTGAGTCATCAACCCAAGTGGCAGCAGCCACTGGGACCTCTCCACCATCCACAGAGGCAGCCCATCCAAGTATTGCACCCATGAAGACAAATTTTGGGTTCAGAGGTCCTGCTGACTACCACCAGGTGTAATTCTGGGGGGAAAATCTCTCTCCCAGCCTGGGGCAAGTGATCTTTGAAACTGAAATCAGTCAAAGGGAGAAATAAAGTGTGAGAAACCCATTAATTGCCTACAAGCAGTTGTCCACTTCTGCCCCCTTTTGTCTCTTGTGACCCGGCTGCAAAAAGGGACCCCACCCAACCTCTGTGGTCCAGATATGCCCTCGCTCCCCCTTGTAATCACCTATTGCTATGGTGGTGGACTACTTCTCTCCACCCCTTAGAAACACCTATTGATACAGAGATGTACTAAAGACAGGTGAGAGATTCTGGAAATATTGTAATTTATCTGCAATTATAGAAAATAAAAATTGATGGATTTTCTCCTAAATCCTTAACCATGCT